CTGGTGTACGCCCTTCCCAATTTTGAGCCATGCAGTGTTTCCTTGCTCTGTTCTGACGACTGCCTCCTGGTCCAAGTATAGGTTTCGCATTAGAACGATCAAGTGTTCTGGGATTCCCATTCTTCTTAGAGTCAGCCACAGTTTGTTATGATCCACACAGTCTAATTCTTTTGCATAATCAATGAAACACAGGTATACATTCCTCTGGTATTCCCTGCTTTCATCTAAGATCCATCTAACATCAGCTACAATATCCCTAGTACCACGACCCCTTCTCAACCCAACCTGGACTTCTGGCAGTGTCCTGCTGATGTGCTGTTCCAGTCGTTTTGGGATAATCTTCAGTAGAATTTTTTTTTTTTTTGCTTGCTGTGTCCTATAATTCTTCAAGTTTGTCTTTCACCCATTGAAAAGATTCAATCATTGTTCATTTAAATACTTTGTCAGAAAGTTTCATCAGGCTTTCTGGCTTCAGGAAATCCATTGACACTGTGCTACTTTTTTATGGTGACATCTTGCTTCGGGCTTGTGTAAGGCGTAAGGTAGCCTGCTTCTTTCATGACTTTGCTGTGGTAGAGTTTTTCATGCCTGAGGCAATAATAGGTTCTTAACCTGAAGTCACTGAGTAGAGCTGGGCAGAGCATAGTGTTGGGTGGAGTGTAGAGGCAGGTGATGGGCACAGAGATTGGAGGTAGCCAGCTGGCATGGAGCATGGAGGCAGGCATTGGGTATGGAGCATGGAGGCAGGTGCCAGGGCCAGATTCAGATGCAGGTTCCAGGTGTTGGCCTGGGCACCAGTGTTGGGTTTGGGTGCTGGTGATGCCTGGCATGTGCACAGGTGCATGCCAGGTGGAGTCATGCAGAATCTTTCCTATACCGTAGTTTTTCTATCTCTTCTTTTGTTGATGGGCACATGAGTTGCTTCCATCTCTTTGCCATTGTAACTAATGCAATGATAAACATAGATGTTCATGCATCTGTTTATGCAGAACCTCTGGCTTCTTTAGGATATTGAAGATCCTTTCTCCGAATTTCAAAAATAGAGATGCCATTTTACTCTGCAATCCCACTACTGTTGTTGTTGTTGTTGTGTACCATAGAGCCAGGGAGAACATATAGCTGACCCTCCAGGGGGTTTTCAGAGGCATTTAATTCCACAGGAGTTTGTCCTTCCTTCTCCCACAGAGCAGCTGATGGCCTTGAACCATGTGCCTTCAGGATTGCAGTGCAGTTGCTTACCACTAGGCAATGAGAGGTCACTCTAGGAGATGTTTTATTTTATTTGTGATTTTAACAAAAGTTTACAAAAAAGTTGGATTTTCATTCATTCAATGTTGCACATTTCCCCCCTCTACCTCCCTTCACCCTCCTCCAGTTCACGTTTTTGAATCTTTGTTCTTTTTTCTTAGCTATTTATGTCAAGAACTAAAGTGTAAAACATGCTAATGTTTTGTGTTCACAGAAAATCAAGGCATTTCACCCTAATTTTGACCCACTTATTAACAATATTTGGGTCAGCAGATTCAGAGCATTAAAGCAGTTTCAGAAAGCTGCACACAAGGTAAGTCTAAGGACCAGATTGAAATTTTAGTTTGTTTAATCATCAGCACGAGGAAATTGAGGAAAGGATTTTTGTGGCCATTTCACGAAGCTATAGTTCACACACCATAAAATTTGTTTTTATGGTTATTGTTAGCTGTTATCAAATCAGATGCAACTCCTCCTGGATAGAGATAAAGCAGGACAAGGATGCTGCTGGGTCCTGTGCCTTTTACAGCCAGTGCCCTGTGTGAATTCATCCTTGTAGCTGCTGGGACAGTTCATTTTACTAAGGGTTTTTCTCTTTTTCATTGACTCTCTACAAAACATGATCTTTTACCCTGCAACAGAAAAATTTCATTTCTCTGTGTCCCTTAATATCTCCCTTTTTTTCCTGTGTTGAAATCTTTCTATTTACTGATTCTTTTGGCTTGGAATTCTCCTCTCCAAATCTTTTGATCACAGCTTGCACAACATTCAAGTGTCAGGTGAAATATCATCCTCTCTGAAAGCCTTCCCTAGTTAGCCTTGCACACTGTCCCTACCTCTCTATAGACAAACCCTTGTCCAACTATCCTCCTTCATTTTCTTCATAGTTTTTAAATTATTTGTTCATCTTATTGTTTGCTCCAAGACAGCTTGGAATATCAGTTCAATGCTGGTTTTTTGGTTGCTTCCAGCATCTTTCAAAGAGTTAGGCACAGAGTAGCCATTAGCTGCTTTTGAGTGAACCCTCAAACCTTGCCCAGTCCTGTGTCATCCCAAGGGCTGATGCAGACAGGATCACTATGAACCACACACTTTCCAATAGCTCATGTTGCAAGTAGATTGCAAGACCTTTATTCTTACTCCATCTTAGTTTAGATGCTCTTGTTCTTACAGAATTGTCCATGTAGTTTGTCCTTAAGCTCCCAAAATAACATGGTGGTAGCATTACTCTTTAGATTTGAAGTATTATACAACTAGTCAGTCTATCCACTCAGGAAATCTGTGAAAACATCATGGTCCTTTTTATATTCAAGCCACCATCTCCAGAGTTCAGTCTGTGGCAGCATTCTATTCTCCTATGAACTCTTAAAGACAAGTTCCCAGTTCTCAGCCATGTTTCAGGAAGGTGAACTGAAGTAAGTATTATCTATTAATAATTTAAAATCTTTATTCTCCTTAATTCCAGATCATAGTGCAACGACGATTACTTAATATGCTAGCTTTTTATCATGAAATGGATCGAGAAGCTATATTGGAAAGACCATCATTGTCAGGTAAAGTGAAATACAGTCAGTGATATGTAGGCTAATGGTTTCTCTCCTCCCTAGCATTTTTCCCTTGCCTTTGCTGGTCTCTCTCCCCTCTCCCCTCTTCTGTCTTTCTCTCTCTCTCCTCTTATTTTCCTTTTTCATCCTGATTCTCTTTCATTGCGTGGCACTTATTTTTCTTTTACCTTTTCTGTCTAATCTTGACTTTGTTTGGCTGTGTCATCTGTTGTTGTTTCCCTACTTTGTCTCATCTGACAACAGACAGCATCAGTGTCCAGCTGCACACACACTTCCTGCAGCTTCACCATCAGGCAAGTCAACAGACCAGCTCCTCCTCCATCTGACCAATGAATGACTGCAGCCAGCACTGGGCCAGCATGCCCTCAACTGCTCTACA